TCCTGCTGACGTGGTCGAAGTGGTTTCAGATGTTACTGGCCAGACGTGAAGGCTCTAAGTTACTGTTTCTGTAGCTGAAAAGCAGGAGCCAAGTGCCTGAGACTGGGTGGAATGTTTTTGTGGGAAGTAAGGAGCCGCTTGTTTGAACTGGCACTGGGAAGACTACAGGCAGGGATTAGGGAAGTGCCTATCTGAGAGCATTGTTAGACTCTGCAGCCTGGGTTTTGTCAGAGAATAAGAATGATGGTGGATATATTTGTTTTATTACTTTTTTTTTTTAAATAGGTTTCCTCCGAAGCAATAATGAAGGTAGTTTTAAATGCTGATATAGGCAAAAAGAATCACTGAGCTTTCTTTCTGAAAAAGTCTTGCAAAAGTATTTTATTTGTGCTGTGCTGATACTTAAACTGCCTTTCAGGAGAGCTGTTAAAAAATTGAACTTCAGCAATAGATATAATTTTATTTTTCAAGGATAGTTTTAAGAAGGACAGCAGCATTTCGTGGGCAGGCTTTTCATCTGCAGCTACGTGACGTACCGATGTTACCAGATATGCAAATTGGTTTTCATCTTTTATGTTTTATAAAGATAGTGGTAAATAAGAATAGGAATTTTCAAAATTCTATTCCTGCGTAGCTAGTGTAATGTCTTTTACCTTTTGAGACTCATTTTGCTGGGTGCTTTTTTAGGTTTAAATCTTGTTTGTGCTAGCAAAACACACAGAACATGTTTCTTGCTGGGTCATGACACTGTAGAAAACTTCTGTCCAGGCTACTTGTTTTTTATAATCTTTGTAAGAAAATTTTTGGGAAATTCAGAGAATTTATTGAGTATTAAATGCTCTTACTGTTAGATGTTCTAAATTTATGTAAAGTAGATCCAGCTTCCTTGCGTATATTGGAAACGTAGAACTAATAATGAAGAAATTTTGATTTCTATCCGATTTTGAGTTTATGGAGCTTTGTTTCATCTTGAAGGAGAAAAAAATAATAGTATTTGAAACAGTGGAAGGAAAGGATGTGAGAATATGAAGTATTCTCTAGGTATGAACTGCTTAGAGATATGGTTTAATGCGGGATTAGAGACGGTTGGACTGGATGATCTCTAAGGTCTTTTCCAACCTAGAAATTCTATGAAATGCTTTCAGCTGGTGTCGTTTATTTTGAATCTTCCTGTCAGAATAGTTTTAGTTTCTCTTTTGCCCATACAGAATTCTTTTGACATTTGTGAAGTTCTGCAGAAGTTCAAGGAGCTCCTTTTCGTGTGTGTTTGCCTGCAGGATTGAGGTTACAAATTAGCATGGTATCTTGGTGAAATGCTGCCATGTTAGAGAGAAAAATTCTAGATGAACTGGGCATTAACTTTGATGTGAGTTAGTTGGTTTCATGATTTGCCTTTGCCTTTGATTATACTGAAAATCAAGTTTTAATGTAGCTGACTGCTTGGTCAGTTCGGTTTCACTGACACACGTGTTTGGATTCTTCCACAGAGGCTTACAGCTAATCCAGGAGGAAGGCAACGTAGCAGACTGTCCATCATGTCTCAGCATCTCTGCACTGTTGAAACCTGCTTCGTAATTCCAGGTGACGCCTTTGTTCCAAAGCCAGAGGTAAGTTTCGATGTATTTGGATTTTCTGGGCAATTTGTCAGTGCAGCAATGTATCTGAGTGTGAGTAAGGAGCACCGTTGGGTGCTCTAGTCCAACATCTCCGTGCTACAAAGTGGGGTGATGGGATACTCCTCTAAAGGATGCACGCTTTCTTCAAAAAGGTGCTTTTATTTCTGGTTCCTCAGAACTTGGCTTTGACCTTCAAGCCTATCTGCACGATCAGGGTACCTCTTTGGGTGTTTATGGAGAGGGAGATTAGGATTAACGGCAGGACAGTCTGCTGGGATTGCAGCACCTTGGGAAAGCCTGCTGTTTGCAGTTTGCATTTAGAAACAGTTGGGAATTGCGCCGAGGAAGTTTGATGGGTCTTTTGAAAGACCCTGATAAATAAAAGCCTTCCATTTCTCCTCTTTGCCAAAGGTCTCTAATTTTACCAGGTCTATAATCCTGACATTTCACCCCACTCAGCATATTGAACTGCCTCCTGTGCGCTGTAGCACTTTGTCACCTTCATCCCCTGCCTGTGGGAAAGGGAACATCTCTTCTCCCGTCTGGGTGCTCGAGTCAGTAGAAGAGAACAGTTTCTTTGCTCTCCTCTTAGCGACCTGCTACTGGTTTTTATTAGTAGCCATTATGATTACAGGAAGCAAGAATTAGTAAATTAAACTGCGTTTTGGACAAAAATGTATCTTTTTTTTTTTTTTTTGTAAAAATGCATGCTTGACACTAAGTGGGGTCTGTTTCCGCTGAACACACGTGGAAATCTGCTGTTCTGTTTCGGAAATGAACTTGCAGCTTCTGAAAGTTCCTCTTAACCCGGTTGGTTCAGCTCATCAGAACAGCTCTCTTCCCCTGTCACAGTCCATCTCTTGGCCTTTCCACTTTTCAGGCTTAACTCTTGCGAACCTTTGGAAGATCATTCTCTGTGTTTTTTCACAATGAATTCTAAGGCCGCCATCTGGGCATATTCTGGTGATGATTTAAAATTCTGGTAGTACTTTTTGAGCAAGTAACTGTTCAAACATGTTAAATTATTAGTTGTGACAGCAGTCTGTTGTGAAGAAAAATTACCATGCTTAAGACATCTCATTTTTTGCTTTGTGGTTTTGGGTTGTTTGTTTTGTTGTTTTTTTTTCCTGTCTCCTAGCTGAGTGAAAAATAATTTCAGGATGTCATCTCACTATTAAATATGTGAAATAGTGTTCAGTAAGGCCGAAATTCCAGTTTTGTGAGGGTGATTTCTCAATGGTGGATACAATTTGAGGGCAGAGAGCTAGTGTGGTCCAAAGCCTTGGGCAGACTGTCTCAGAATTGGCCATCGTTGACTGAGAGAGAGATAGCTCAGAGTTGTGATGATGTCTTGGCATATGCAGATCCTACAGCCTGGTAGTGCTCTGTGGAATAAAGGCGGCAGCACCACTAAAGGCAAGCATATTTTTATTTAATATACTTCTTTGAGTTAAAACAAGTATTGCTTATATTGCAAAAGCAGAAAGTACAATTTTTTTCACACAGACCTGGCACCCGTTTGCACTGTTTTGTTTCCTTCAAGCTCTTACTGTAGATGGACCTTCTGTTTTGTCCCCGTTCTCTTAGCTGCAGACTGACTTGTAGTTTTAGATATTGCCATTTCTGACAGCATCTTTGTTTTCTTGGAAAGCTCTGGCTGCCTGTTGTGAATGAAGTTGCTCAGTGCTTGATTTTTGTTTCACAGATACATACACAGAGAAGTTCAGATACTTCTGTATAAAGTTCTAGGAAGAAAAATTTGCTGCTTATGTAACCAACAAATACTTTGTTTTGCTCATACTACGCAATGATGACCTTTTCCTTATGCCTTCATGTAAAAACGCCTTTGGTTCTTATTTTACAAATGTTAATTGTAATTGACATACCTAGCAATGATCGCAGCTTAGTATGTGTCAAACCCCGTACTGAAGGTGGAGATGCACGTTTTTGGGAATGAGTTGTTGACCTTTTTCTCTCAATGAGTGCATGATTTCAACAATAGCTGTGAATATTGAGATGTAAAAGACTCTTGAATGGAATGGAATGGAATGGAATGGAATGGAATGGAATGGTTCTGAACAGCATTCTGTCCAAGCAAAGATGATTTGGCTTTTTGGTCATGGCTGAGTCCCTGTAGTACTGAATAACTCTGATACTGGTGTTAGGAGTAGTACAGAACAAGCTGCTTGATGAATGCACAGGAAACTCACAACGGCTGCATAGCAGTACTAATGCAGACGAGACATCATTCCCTTCTAGGTTAGTAGAATAAAGACTCTTCACATATTAGGTGCATAAACATTTAATTTTCTCAAATGCTGTAACAAAAGATCTTACTTTTTCCAGCAAACCATACATGTAATGTTAAGGCCCCTTCATACTGTTTTAGTGAATTTTGGGCTAATAATATGGGAAATGAAAGTTGTATATAAACAAAATAAATTGCGGTTGGTTTTGTTGAAAGGCTCATCCAGCATTATCGTATTCCTAAATTTAAAAGCCTATATCATATCCTCTTCTCATTCCCCACCTGTGCTGGTAAATGTCTGTCAATTTGGTTCCCACCTAGGGAAGCATTTGCACACAGCTCTGCCAGTGACCAATACAGAACAAAATCTGTATGTCGAAAGAAAGGGTTAAAGGATTTAAGATTATTAATGAAAATAAGAGGGTTAAGAAATGACTTTACATGAAGAAGCTGTCTCTCTGTCACCGCTGTATGTTACGTTTTACAGTAATAGAAAACATGGGAATGGACCTGAAACAGACCCTACCAGAATAACTAAACAGACTTATCAAATTCTTTTGGAAGGCCAGAAACATAGAAGACAATCCATGGTAGCTGTATTATTATTATTACTTTGAGCAAGTGTAAGCCAGAATGCTTCCTGATTTTCCTGGGACATAGATACTTGGCTTGTATCCTGTGTGTTACAGTTTGCAGGTGTTTTCCTGGTCATGATCCCACTGGGGTTGTTGTGTGGTTCCTGAAATCTAGCACTCACTGGGTAGTGATGGACTGGTAACAACTGGGGAATGCCCCTAGGCATTTCTTCAAGGATAATAACAAACCCACAGCAGGTGGCAGTTTGGGGTAGAGCCATTTTTGGCAAGATCTGAATGGTACTGCTGATTCTTCAGCCTGATGTGCAGAACATCCAGTGCAGCTAAGGTTTGGGGCTGTGGGTTTGGGTGTGATTTTTTTGTTTTGGTTTCATTTAGGGGGAGGGGTGGGGGCTGTTTGTTTTTTTGTTTTGTTTGGTTGTGGGGTTTTTTTAAATCTAGTTACCAAGGCAATTTAGAACTGAAAATGAAAGGTGTGCCTGTTACTTAAAAACCATTGAATTGGGCTTCTTGGACTGAGTGGTTGGGGATTTTTTCTTTGCATCATAATTAAAATAAAGTAAAATACACTATAAAACATTAGATGTTATTGATAGCCTGATTAGCTAAATAGAAAGCAGTTTCTAAGCATCTTTGCTGCAAGAAGCCATCAGTACGTTAATTGTACTGTGGGTTATGTCTTTAAATAGTTCCTTTTTCTTCAGTAAATGTTACTTGGAAAGTAAAAAAGAATGGTTTGAAAGATCAACAAAAAAAAAGGGCTCTTGTAGCAGACAAGCATTGTTTCCTACTTCATTCATTTTGTGGATGCTGCTATAAATGAAATACGTTGCTCAAACATAATCACAACCCAGATGTAAGAAAAGATAAGTGCTACGTTACACGTTCTTTGAAACAATCAAACTACACTTAGCACAAAAAAAAAAAAAGCCTGAATGGATAGAAACAACTGTATTTACACATAGTCCTTCAGGTTGTAACCTGCGTTGCTCTCCTGCTCTGTGGCTGGGAAACGGTGCTGCTTGGGAGGGTGAATCCATGCTCCTGGCCGCTTTTTAAAGCAGGAGGTGCAGAAGATCACACCTGCGGTAAGCAGGAACCCTGCTGAAATGAATCCTGTGTAAACTGCTCCTCCTGGTTCGTGTTTACTGCTCTCTGGAACGGTCTGGTCCAGAAAATTGGAGATGATTTCTCTGGTGTACCAGGACGTTGGTACTAATCCAAAGACTCCTGCAAGAATGAAGCAGACTCCTCCAGCAAAACAAGCGTAACTCTTGCTGTCAGGGTCCCCCCCCAGCTTGGTGCATTTCATTCCCACTGTAGTGAAGCAGATCCCGAAGGCTGACAGGATGCACGACAGGACCATGGTGGTCCGTGCAGCCTGGATGTAGACGGGGAGAGAGAGAACGGAGTATTTCAGGGTGCAGCTGAACATCCCAGTGCTGTACCACGTGCAGTCCATCCACAGTCCTTGCATCTGCGTTATGGCAGTTATGATGTTTGAACCAACATCTGCGTTCACCTTCCAGCTTGGCAGCAAGGTGGCTGTGATGTCTCCAAAAGCACCGAGCAAAGCCAGGATAAAGGCGAAGCACTGCAGACTTGCTGATGCCATGGTGATTATCTGCTGCCACCTTTTGTCTGCCGGTTCCTCTCTGGCAAATGCGTGTAACTGGCTGGTAGCTTCGTAGCCAAGGCTGTAGCCCTCTGTGTAACAGGGAGGAAGGGGGGGAGGAGAAGTGCGAGGGGGGAAGAAAAAGAAATCAGCAAACAAAAAAAGCTGGCATTTAGAATTGGAACTATCTGAATAAGTATGTGAACATGACCCTGCAGCAGACGAGAGCACTGAGCAGCTGTACACAAGGTACTGGAACACAAAGGATGGCAAATGGACGGTGGTTTCGAGCTGCTTGGGAGAAGGAGCTGCTGCCCTTTCATACAGGATTGCGAGCCATCAGGCATCAGTTATTTTACTGGAGTTATTTTTGGTGGTAGTAGACAGATTGCAGGCTTACTAGACAAATACACGTTGTAAATGGAACTTGGGGAACTTGCAGTTTAGAAGTCATTGTGGAAAACCACTGGGGTAGAAAATATGTTGTACTCTTCAGGTACTTTAAGTGTGCGGTCATCCTGTTGGCGATTTTATAACATTGATAATACCATCTTTTCTTTAAAGTATGTTTAAAGGTAACCCCTTCGTTTCATTTTTGAAATATTGCGTGTTCTTTTGGTTAATAAGTGTTAGGAAATTTCGTGTTTTTGAAGGAGAATAAGATTGAATTTATTTTTTGCAATGTTTTTGCAGTTAAGTCACATGTGACTTTTCTAAATCAACATTTTAGTGATTCTCAGTCCATGACTTACAGCAGCAGTATTGAGGAAGTCATAAGACTGAACATGTTCTGCTTTTGTCTATAAAATAAAATACTGGTTTTAACACCGATAGGGAGCAACTCAGTTGTGTAAGTGCATTTTTTTTAATCAGTTCCTTACTTGTCTGAAATCATTTGCAAATTTGCCATGAAGTGGCAGTTTTAAAAATTAATCAAGAAACCTCCCTGCAGTTCCTGCAGAAAGGGTCCGATTTCCTTGGCAGGGAGCACGTGGGCAGTACGGTAACTGTGCACCTGGGAAGAGAGAACTGGTGCTGCCACATCGCCCGGGCTGTTGGATAGCAGGTGAAGAAAAACGGTTGGAAAGCTCCGTGAGGAGGATGAGGAGAGGTGTCCTGCCTTCGGAGGGAGGCGGTGTAACCGGCAGGTTTGGGCTGGTAGCAGAGTGGGAGAGAAGGGGCGGGCCCCAGTCTGGGTCATGCTTTCTGAGACAATGGTATTAAAGTGGCCCTTCAGCATTAGGACCTCCCTGAAAAGCCATAATAACGGGAGGAAGTTGAAAAGAGTGGAACACAAGATATCTGTGACATTGTGCTCTCATTTCAGTTCATTATACCTTAGACAACGTTTTGACCAGTATTTATTCTCTCAGTCTTTAGTGGCATTACGTAACAAGTAATCCTCTAATTTGTATCCTGTACTTGGTTCAGGTAATGGTTCAAGGATGTGCTAACTCTGTCCAGCATATATATATTAAAAATGCTTAGAGTTAAGGTGAGAATATTAAGAGCTACTCATTTTTAAAATCTTATTTCAAAGACCAGCCTATTTCCAGATCCCCTCCGTTCGTTCGGTCTGTGAAGAGCTGCTTTGGCAAATACGGATCGTTTGCTGTACCAGGCCCATGGAAAGATGGCTTAACTTCCTTCCACAGAAGGAACTGACATGTCTGGGTAGCTCAAAACTCATTCAAAAGCATATTCTGGAACAGTTCGTTAGGATCTTGAGCTAGCTCTTTTCATTGCTTCCGTTTTAAAATTTCAGCACACACAAACATGCAAACAGAACCGCAAACCCCTGCAAATGGCAGTCAGGCACTACCTTTAGTGGGGTGAACCAAGTCAAAGGCATGATAAAGTCACATATAAGCACTGCAAGTGTAATAAAAAATACAGTTATGTTTCATTCCTCTTTGTGTAGCACTTACTGCTGGATGTGGAGTCTGAGATGTTTTCTTCTCTGCTGATGTCCTGGAAAAACGCAGTTTCTCCTGAATGGAACTATCCTTTGTCATATAAAACTGCATTGGCTTGTATTAGCAAAATTTCTTGAAATGTTGGGTTTTTTCCTCTTCTCTTCTCTACAGCAAGTGCATTACTGCTGTTTGTTCGCTCTCTTAGTTCCATCTACCCGAGAATAAAGGAGTACTTTGTTTAATGAGTTTGGTTTGACAAACACTCAGTGAGGGAAAGCAAAGAGATTATGGAGGAAAACACATGGAGGCCCTCAGTCCTAAATACATAACGATACCCAGGTTCTGTGATGAAAACTCTGAATAGTGGTTAAAAGGAGTAAAATCTTGAGAATCCAGAAACTCTGTAAACTTAGGGATGGGAGGGGGGGGCAAGGAGAGGGGTGGGGGGGTAAGATTCATTTAAGTTGAACTGAGAGCCAGAGGATTTTGTTGTTTGTGGGTTGTTGTTTTTTTGGTGGATTATTTTTTTTCATCACAGATAATCTTATTAAGAGTTTAGATTTCCTAAGAAAGAACTGTGCGATTTATTTTAATTCATAATTAGAACAGCAGGACATTTCTATTCAGCTGCAGGTTTTGCTTAGCTCTTCTCGGTAGCCTCAGCCTTCTGTAGGTCATCTATGAATCGTTGCCTTTGAATGAGCCTGGATAAAAGCAAGAAGGAATAAATCCACTAAGAAGCCTTATCTCGTGGCTGCAGCGTGTGAGAGAAGTGGCCTCAACGAGCTGGTGTGTGAAGTGAAGCAGCCAGCAGACAGGTCTTGCCGATGGCAGCCGTGATGCACCCACCCATAGGTTCTGCACCTGGCTGTGGCTTGCTGTCAGCCTGTTGGTGAGCTGGTGTGAACGTAGCTCAGCTGTTCCAGAGCTGTTCGGAGGCAGGAACTGGATTGTTGCTGGGAGTGCTTTCTGCTGGAAGTGACCCCACGTGCAGCCCTCGCTGGGAGATACCCACACGTGCCGTTCGACCTGACGCTTGGCTGCAGCAGACAGATGAAGTGCTGGTCCCAGCACCCGGCTGCTGGAAGTGCAGGCGTGGAGCTGTCTCGGCTGGCTCGCAGGCTCTCTGCTTCCGGCAGGTGGTGATACAGTCTGTGCAGGTTGCAGCTCCCCAGGAGGAAATGACAGCTAGAAACAGGGTAGGTGGGTTGGCTTTCAGTGCAGCCCTGTTGCAGGACACATGTATTGCCCATCGTGAGACCTTCATTGTCAGCAGTTAGTCAGAATTGTCCCATTTCAGCTTGTTCTGGTACAGGGTTGATCTCACCAGCGAGGCAGCAGGCTGCTCTGAATGGAACTGTGCTGTGTCCGTGTTCCCCGTGCCCTGCCACAACAGAAACCGTCCTTGTGCAGAGGCACTGGAACAGCAAGGGGGGGGCATTGCTGTGCTGCTGACAGCTCAGCATACGGCACTTGAAGAATTTTCCTATTCATTATTTTGTAGGAGTTGAGTATTATTTTGTAAATATTTCTAACGTACTTCAGGGGGGTGTTACTAATAAAATTACCAGCAAATTAACTTGGGTATTTTAAGTGCTCTTGTGTACTCTATTGGCTTTCCTAATTCTGCTCTCTATTTTATGCATATTAAAAAGGTTAGGGAAAAATAGCATGTATCATTTTAAAGGAGTGGCCAATTACGAGCGAAAAGCTTTCCCCTGTATCTGTTGCTATGGTAACCAGGCAGCTTTCCTGGGGTCCAAAGAAAACAGCGTCTAGAATGGAACAAACGCTGAGAAGTGCTGTGTTTTGTTTCAGCAGCAGAAATTATTGCCCACTGGCCTTGAGATTGCAAATGGAGCTGTTTTTCTCTTAAACTGTACGCTGCATCTAGATCGTGGCCTCTCTTTCTTCTCCTTCAGAAACGTTTGTTAAAGATGCAGTTCCACCTCCCAGAGAACCCTCGTATCCCACTTAGAAGCAGCTCTGCAAAACTGAGGCAACTGGGAGCCCCAGACGTTGTGGGAGGAACCCCCTTTTCTGTTTCTCGACAAACATGCTGATCAACGTACACGTGTGTAAATCAGCCCTTAGTGTTGCTCTACAAGGAGCTGGGTGGCCACGTGAAGGTTGGTCGTACTTGCCCTGGTCAAAAAGAGAAACTTTTCTGCCACTCAGCGTTCGTGTGGTCTTCCTGACAGGTGGCAGTGCCCTGTGGCAAGGGTAGAAGCTGGCAACGCTCGGGAAACGCAGGAACTGCGTTGGGAAATACATTTGTGAGCGTTTCACTGCAGATTCCTTATGATGAGTTTTTAAAGAAGTTCTTGTGTCTTTACATTTTGGTAATTTAAGTATTTTTTCTGTTTATTCTTAACTCTAGCTTTCAGAATAGGTGGAAAAGTAGAGAAAAAACACTATGAGTAACATATCAGCTATCAGCTGAGATCAGCAGTGCTAGAACTGGAAATGTGCTGTGGGTTTTTTTCATCAGCACTGTTAACTGGTATTTTCTCTCCTTTCTCTAGCCAGTATTTTCGTTCAGCTTTGCAAGTTCTGTCTAGATGAAAAACTCCCGTTGTTTGCATGTCATCGTTTCTGTGGAACACCAGTGCAGTACCTCTGCTGTCGAAGCAGTTGTGCTGGAGAGGTGTACTTGGCAGCTGAGCTGCTTGTTCCCACTGGAAGTACAACGTGGATGGGTGGCACCTCTGTGCCAGCAGAGTAGATCCATGTCAGAGGTTACTGTGATGGCAGTGTTGTTTAAAAAATGCACAAACTCGGAGCGGTTTTGGTTAAAGTAGCAGAAAAACCCTCACTTGGCAGCTGAGCTGCTTGTTCCCACTGGAGGTACAACGTGGATGGGTGCCAGCAGAGTAGATCATGTCAGAGGTTACTGTGATGGCAATGTTGTTTAAAAAACGCACAAACTCGGAGCAGTTTTGGTTAAAGTAGCAATTCTTTTTCGAAGTACTCTCTTGCTATGGGTTTTCTCAAACCATTGGTACACTGAGAGTGTGCCTAGGGCAGAAGCTGTTCTTTGGCCTTAGTGCATCTTTTATTTCAGTCCGAGCTGGCACAGCTGCAGTTTAACGTCACGTAGAACCACCCTGTGAATGCCAGTATTGACTTTCAGACCTTTTAAAAAGAGGGGTGGCTGTCCACAGTAGTAACAGACTTTCTGAAGAAGAGACTGAATATTTTTGAAGTCTGGCACTTTTGGTTTTAGTCATTCAGTACCAGTACTTGTACAAATGTACAAATCTTCAGTGTGGTCCTCCACACGAATTTCTCATTTTTATTGTTGTTAGTATCTAGTCTGAAAGATGAACTGCTTTATTCGATGTTGTACAGAACTGGCTTTTCAGCCCAGCCTGTATTTTTTAATACAGGTGTCAGAATTCAGGGCGTTTCTGTATAACACAGTATCTCTGTAATTGCATGACATGTTTTTGTGGGTTTTTATGTACATATGTGTACATTGAAGGGAGAATGTTATTTCATTCTGTTTGCAGACACAGGCAAAGTGACTGTTCTGTGAACCAAGCTGATTTTTAGGACTATAAAAGAATAAAACAAGCTTGAAAAAAAGTCTTTGTAGAATCATTCAAATATAATCTTGGATGAACTGTGGTACACAGTGTAAACACAGTTGTATGGTCACTTAAACTGAATGCAAACTTATTTCTACCCACCATTCCTTTAAATAGACTAGAATTTTAAAATCTTAATACATTGAAAAGTAATTCCTTGGCTTACATTTTAGAAAAGCCCTGGAGCAACAGAAAACATATAGGGAATGGGTTTGATTTCTAATTATAATACCAATTTTCTCCTGCTGCCCTTCAGCCTGTACATCAAATATTGTCTAATTTGTGTATCATGTCAGAATTGTCTTGTGGAAGGATCTGAAGAAAGAAGTGCTAATTACTTCACAGATTACATGGAAGGTGTTCCAGATGGAGGAAGTGCCATGGGGAAAAAGTACCGAGTACTGTTGGCATGTGAACTAATTGGAAATATGTAGATAACTAAGAGTAAAATTCTGTAGGGCCTTGAAAGTTAAGCCAGATCTTTATATTGAAATACTGTGACATTGGTCACTGCGCAGCTGTGCTGCCTGCCACAGTAACGTCTCATGTTCTGCCTGTTTCCTGATTGTAGTGGGGAAGCTGGAAGTAACGTGTCTCAGAGGAGTACATCTGCTCAAGTTTGTCTTTCTTTCTTTCCTGCCCAGGTGGATGTGGCTGTGGTGCGTTTCACTCCGCTGGTGCAGCCAAGGATCCAGCAGCCGTTCGAGCTCGTAGAAAAAGTGGTTCGAAGTGTTTTTCAGTTCCGAAGGAAATACTGCTTCCGCGGAATCGAGTAAGGAACTGCAACGAAAAACGCTCAGATAACGGTTTTGTAAATGCATCAGCCACTCAATCAGTTGAGAAACATTTGGTTTTATTCCTGCCGTTTTAAACTCCTCATCATAGTTGATCAGATCTTCCCATTTCAGCATGGTTTCTGGAGACAAAAGCACGATACGAATCTCTTTCTGCTCTAATTATGTAATAATTACTGTGCGTTTTCGCTAGTGCAGTCGGAGTTGTTCACATTGCTGGGATAAATTGGTCATCTTTCCAGTAGTCTGTCGGTCTCAGGAACCAAATGAACAAACAACCACCAACACTACAGCATTTGCTGGTCGAGTTTAGAACTGAAAGTGTCAGAAGTCAGAGCAGTGGGAGGAGGGAGCCCGTCACTGCGGGCAACTCTGCTTCCTTGGCGATAATGTCAGCAGGGCAAAATCTTGTTCCTGTGCTTGCCCTTTTTTGGAGTTCTTCTGCCTCCAAAAATCCTCCTGTCTCACCGAGGGACCTCACTAGCTGTGTAACGCACGCGAGAGGCCTGCAGGCTGTTCACCAGGGATCCTGGGGCAACTCCAGCGTGGCCAGGCGGCTACTTGGCATCCAGTGTGGCAGAATGTGCCAGCTGCTCTTGGGGCTGGAGGCATGCTGCTGCAGCCTGGGCCAGCTGAATTTTCCTGGGCATGGGTTTGGCCCTGGTGCAGTCTAGCATTAGGGTGGATGCCCCCTTACTGAACTACAATATGTCCCTATTTTAAAGGTGAACATAGAATTTGCCTCTACTTTGGGGATTTTTTTCTGTTTGGGGCAGTGAATGCCATTGATGTCTGGGATGCAGACATTGGATCTAAAATGAGTACCAGTTTGCCTGTGTTAGGTTTGAGTACGCATTTGGAGGTGGTTAGGAAACAGCGTACCTGAACTTTAGATTGTTTGTGGTTTGGTCTACAAATCAAGGGGTTTTGGGTTTTTTTTTGTGAAAGAACAGTTTCAGTTGACAGTGTAAGCAGAAGGCATGTGCAACCAGCATGTCTACGATATGTAGAATATTTTTGCCAGAGTTTAAAAAATATCTCCAACAACTATTGTGTAAGCCCAAATTGCTAATAACTGCTCCACGTTCTTTTGAGGCAAAGGTGGGGGAATCTGAGCTTTGGGATGCCACATATTCCCTAGCAGCTTACCATACTTCTAGCCCTAGTGTTCAAAGAAACACAATCCTCTTATTCTTGAGGTGACCTGAAAAAAACCAGCTAATTTTGGTGTGTAATTAACGAGGCTATTAAGTGCATTATAAGGTGTCTGTCTATTGCATATAGTGTATAAAACCAAGGTAAGAGAATCAGTTTATATCTGTGTGTCCCTTCTGGGATCTGCGAGGCACGGCATGTAGGATTGAGCTGTCAAGGGCATGAAGGAAAACATTGTAGTTCGAGTTGCTGTTCATGGACATTTGTAAGATGGTTCACAGTCTGTATATAAAAGGTGATTAAACATTTTTTGGCTCCAGGTACATCTTTTAGCTACCAACTCAAAGGAGGGACTGACTAACTTACGGAGAGATATCAAAATCAGGATCGATCCCTTTTAACCTTGCTGGCCTCGATGCTGCACTAATGGGGACGTTTTTGACCAAGGCCTGGAGTAGCACATGCTCTAAACCAGGGTGTTCCCAGAAGTGCTGTCCTTCTCCTGCCATTTTAAACCCTTTAACTTTGTATTCTGTCTGCCCACCAAGAGCCACCTATCACTTACCTACGCAAAGCCTTTTGAGGCGCGTGTCCAGCAGAACACAGCCAGGAGTGCAGGAGGGCTCCTGTAGGAGAGACACAAGACTGAAGATGCTGGGTGTGTGTGACAGGCAGGTCATCTGAACAGACACACGCACATCCATCGCGTACAGACGTTCTGCCTGCCTGACCTGTGTGAACTGAGAGCTACTGCTGATCAAAGAGCTGGTCCTTTCAGTCGTTTGAACCGTGCCTCTTGGCGAGACGTCAAAAATCACTTCAAGTAACTCCATTAAAATCTGGGGATCTTGTAAGAGGGTTAGGGTTAGGGCTATATATTAACCCCTATAAGAGGGTTAGGGTTAGGGCTATATATTAAGAGTGCCAGAGCTAAAATAATGACATACTTCATGTAGGTTCACTATTAAGTAAATTCCCAAGAGGATTCTGTTATGCTTAAGGGAAACTGAATTGTCTGTCTGAATGGCTTGAGCTTGTTTGCCTTCTCCTCACACCTTTTAGGACCTTGTTTCCTGAAAGCGGGCGTTTGAAAAGAACGGAACAGCTGATGATGACAGCAAACGTTGACCCAACGCTGCGGCCGTGCCAGCTCTCCATGTCACACTTCCGGAACCTGTGCGATACCTACAGGACAATGTGCGACGAGGACCCAGGCCTTTTTGTGTACGACTACAGAGAAGACCTAAAGCAAAAGAAGAAGATGAGGAATTTACTGAAAAGTACCAGTCAGCCCGAACAGACTGAAGAGGACAATGAGCTGTAACTGGAGCAGACTGAAGTTCTGACTGGTTTTAACTCCTTAATCTAGAGGTGTTGATTCAGTAGAAGGACGTTTGGGTATTCCTGCATCTGAGCAGGTATGGGAGAACTGGTTTTGAAAAGCGGTGCAGCGAGCGAGCTTTCCCGTTTTATTTACTCGTCCCATTCAGCTGCAGGCAAAAGTGACAGGACAGTCCAGTCACAAGGTGCCTGCAGGTTCTTTTTGCTTCAGGGGAACGGCGTGAGCACGTAGCAACAAGAAGGTACGTCGTGAGGCATGTAATGAAGGGGGGATACTTCTGAAATAATTAATTTTGTATGAATGAAAGTGCATTACTGAAACGTAAGAAAAAAATACCTTTCCAGCTTCAGCATGTCAGATGGTGTTTGGGTTTTTGTGCTCCTCTGATCCTGGAACGTCCTACTCTGCGGAGTAATTTAAAAAAGAACCAAAAGCCAAAACCCTCGTGTAAGTATGCTCGAGTGACTGGCTTAAAGAAGGATAAAGTGCACAGATTGCCTCAAGGTCTGCTAATCTCATTTATGCAAAAGCAAAGAATTTGGGATTTAAAGCTCCAGCAGGATAAAAAGTAGAAAACATGGCTAAGTACAATACTTATTTGTCTTTTACTGTACAGGCTGGTAGAGAAAATAAAAAATACAGTCAAATAAAAGATTACAGGCCAAGCTTTGTTTTTGTATTTACACATATGTATAAAGTATAAACAGCATCTTGAGACTTACAAAAATGAAATTCTGCACTACAGCACATTAAAATAACTTAATTCTGCTTTAAATAAAGCAAAAATGAAAACCAAAGAAATAAAATGCCCAAGGTATTGAAAAATTAATTTTGCAATGCTACTTTCCATCGTAATCCCCTCTGCCACTCACTAGCCCCTTGCCCACATTACTGAAAATACTAACGAGGCCGTCCTTCCCTTCCCTCCCCTTCCCATCCCCTCCCCTCCCCAAGAACACTACGTCATCCTAACTGCTTGAAAAGGATGAACTCATTTACACACCTTGGCCAACTTAATCTATTTTTGATCCACAATAAATTAAAATAACTTAAGAATCCTTTACAGCTGTTTTTGTGGAAAAAAATGTATTAGTGCACAAAATCAGATAGTAGTTTTCCTGCAGCTTCCATGAATTTACTAGTTTTGAAGCAGAACAAGTTTCTTGAATTCTATGTGGACTTCAAATGAATTATTTTAAACACAGAAAGCTAGGATTTCCCGTGCCTCTCCACAGCTTCATAAAAGCAGTCCTCATTAACGACAGATGTTAAACTCTGGACACTAAATTCCCTCTCCAAAATAGAGTTCAGGTCCAGGCTTGCAGCGTCGGAGTGACTGTCGAGGGACTGGTGCCGTTCTTGCATCGCCGTTAGAGCTCCCCTGTTACGCCGCGTGCTGTTCGCTTTTCTCTTCACGGGGCAGAAGTGGCCACGAACCAGCTTTGGATGCTCTCCTGTCTGGAACACATCGCCTTCCTCATCCTCAGCAGCCCGATCCCGTTCCGAGTCAGTGCTCGGTTCCTCGGAAATCTTCAGCCGTTGGAACTGTATCTCGATGTCTTTCGTAGGGCTGCCCTTCTTCAGGCTCCGGTAGTCATCGTCGTCGTCGTCGTCACTGAGAATATCCGATTCTTTGAGGAGAACGCTGGAGAAGTGGGACGGGCAGCTCTGCACGTGCTGCTCGGGAGGTGAATTTCTGGGCTCCTGGGAGCTCTCGGCGGTGTGGCAGCTGCTGCTCTGAGTGCTGCTGCTCAGGCTGCACTCGTCGGAGTCCGGGAAGGTGCCTTTCCCCGGGTCACCGTTCCACTCGCTGCTGGGTGAATTCCTCAGCACCTTCAAGGACCTCGTGGAAGCTGTGCAGAGGAAAAAGGCAGTTTCAGTTTTTTTCAGCAAAACATCGGCTGGTTACACCGTCTGTCTCACTAACCCCTTGTCATTACAGGGTACGAGTCTCATTTGGTAATTAGCCTCCGTCAGGCGTGTCAGCGTTCCGGTACCGATGGTGCTGTCCGAGTTTCCGTCCCACCTGCCCCAGAGCTAGGTGCTCACCTCTGTGCACAACATACACAAAATCCCCCCAAAACGGTAGTAATGATTTACACACACCTGCAGGAAAGGCAGACTGATGCAGGCTCCTCCAGCACTGCGGGGCCAGCGTGTGGGTGGGAGCTGAACTGTCCCAGTTCCCGTGACGTTAAGGGGATTTTATGGACAACTGATCAGCTGGAGAACTGGAAATAGTGGTAGCTGCTCATTAACTAAAACATCTGAAGCCTGTACTTAATTAGGGCATCTGCTGGGCTGCAGATTTAGTGCACTGGCAGAAGACCCCTGCCTGTTGCCAGTTGGTTTGGCTTTAGGTGTTATTGGGGCTGAGTTACTGACAGGAACCAGAGGAGAAGCACTAACGCAGCGTCCAGAGGGAGCCCAGTTCTTCCCAGCGAAATGAACGTCTCCCCTTAAGAGAACTAACGGCACAGGACAGCGTGGAGATGGCAAGCTTGCTCATCTCCTCTGGCCTTCGTCATCCGCCGAGTTGGGGTGGAACTCTGCCACCTGCCCAGCCCGAAAAAGAAATGGGATTTGTGGGTCTGGCACATGACACAACTACAGTCATGGAAATAATGGCCATGGAACCTTCTGCCAGCGCTGGAGTCCCGACTCCATTCTTCACTTGGAGAAGGTGTTTCTTACCCAGCTTGGCAGTGGCAGGTACCCGGTTCTTGAGTGGGACAAGGCGGTCTTTACATGTCTTCTCCAGTGGCAGCTCACATTTTATGTGGCGTCTGAAATTCTCTCGCAAAATGGAACGGATCACCTTCACGATGTTCGTCTTGTTCTCACAGTCACTGCGAGATGAAGAAAACAGATGCCCTGATTGTCCCCTCTGAAGTAAGATGCTACTGGGATAAAATCTGCCCACCTCCTTCCCGCTCACGGGCTTTAGTGCAGTAGGGTTTTTCCAGCAGCGTGCGTCAGGCGTGTTACAGATCACAACTTGAGGTGCTGTTTCACACACTTGGTGTTTTGCCATCTTACCCCCCCTTAGAAAAACAGCCTGGAAGGCAACTTCTGTACCACGGGATCACCCCTTAAGTGGTCTTCATCAGAAAGTAATTGCTGGCAACCAGCTGGGAGTCTGATAAATTGAGTTCCTTTGCCCATATCGTACTGGCACCTGTGATCATACGACTCTGCAGATTTCTGGCACTGGATCACCGTGCCAAATTCGCTGCCATTTCACATCGTTAGGCTTTCTGCAGCTCCACACTGGCCCAGTGCCAGGATTCAGAGAGTGAGAGCCGCATCAGAAGTGCTGATGCAAAAGTCATGCAGGGGAAAATCTTCTATTTTTTTAATTGCATCAATGTGATTTGTCAAATGCAATGTCCATACAAAGCTTACCTGCTGCACAACTGAAAAATTGTTTCTGGCCTGCCTTCTAGCTCTGACTTGGTGTGAATCAGTTCCCAGATACAGCTGTTCTCTGTTCCTGTGCAAAGAAGAAAACACTTTTGTATATACTTCACGAAACCTTTGGCATTAGAAAGACCAGTGGATGGAGAGCTCCTCCACTCCGAAAGGCAACGCTAACATAGCAATGGAGGGATCCACAGAGGATCTCACCCAAGATGGAACCCAAAGGAAAGTCCCCTGAACTCTCCTGCTGCAGCAGCCTAGTGCTGCCTTGTGTAACTCTCTGAGAGCTGCTTTCCCCATTCTTGTTGCTTCTGGCTGCCTTCCAGCCTGAAAGGCCTTCTCCCAGGTGCATTTGTTTGCTCTGAACACCTAGTGACGCTTTACAGAAGCTGTAGAACTGGACAGGATCGTATCAACTCAGGGAAAATAAAACCACAGCCCTCTACTACCACAAATGGCACAGTCCACCTTCCCACATCTGGGAAAAAGGCAAAAAAGGGTCACAACACACAGCGTAAGGCTGTCACCAGGACATCAACCATGGTAAATCCCCTTCCTGTTCCTGGTGTGTTTTAATTGGGGATTTCCATTCTGTCATTCCTTCACATCATGTTTCATCTTCCTGAACTCAGGGAAGAAGCCAACATGAAGAAATTTCGTTAATGTATGGAACCTGGACTCACTGAGCATAGACACAACAGTAGATACTATGCCCTCTACACCTGCCTGTTTCCAGAGGCTCCAGAAAGACATGCAGAAGCAGCAGTATTACAAAATCCCCGAAAAGCGTTCAGTCCTGCAGCATTCGGTGCAAGGGAATTACCTGCTGTGTTCCCCAGTCGAACTTGAAGAGCAGATAAAGGAATCAGCCAACGAAATTTAAATGGATCCAAGTCACCATAATTATGTGCAGCACGAACATTAGTAGGCTGCAAAAAGAAAAACAAGGATATTTCTGAGAAGCAGAAGAAAAAAAAGTGAGGTTTTTTGTGTTACTCTTAAAAGACCTGCCTCTGAAGAGAAACTAAATTCATTAGACTTTTTCCTTCAGTACCCTAATACGTGCTTGTAAATGTAGTTGAAATGGTGATGGACACAACCTTTGGAATTTGTAATTGCTTCAACTTTTAAAAGCACTTGTTTTTAATGGATAAAAATAATCCTCTGCATGTAAGTACCACTAGGAAACACTTTCCCGTGAGGGACCCCGCAGACTGTTGATGAGCAGAATACATTAATCATGTAGCTGCTGCTGCTACTTTTCAGGCCCCTCCATCTGTTAGAATCATGGAATGGTTTGGGTTGGAAGGGACTTCAAAGATCATCCAGTTCCAACCCCCCTGCCATGGGCAGGGACACCCTCCACTACACCAGGTTGCCCAAAGCCTCATCCAGCCTGGCCTGGAACACTGCCAGGGATGGGGCAGCCACAGCTTCTCTGGGCAAAATGTTCTAGTGCCTCACCACCCTCATTGTAGAAAATTTCTTCCTTATATCCAATCTAAATCTCCCCTCTTTCAGTTTAAATCCGTTGCCCCTTGTCCTGTCACTACACACCCTTG